TTTTATTAAACCTTAAGGCATGCAAGTACCAGGCTAGCAGGAGGTAATTACACATTTGCTGAGTAGTTGGAGGTCAACAAGGTACAGTGGTAAAAAGACGAATTCTGAGTCAGTTCTTTACCAGATACACAATACTAGCCTCCTTGGAATCATCTGTAAAATGAAGAGATGGGAATTGATGTTAAAGGACTTTGCCAAGGACAGAGTACATTCCAGATGCTTTTGCTACTGTGCTCTCAGGACTATGTCCATGGTGGGTACTGTTTGCTCATGGTGGAGGTCAGCTGCATGCAACTGAAATAGCTGGGTAAAGTGGGAAAGTATATGACCAAATGCCAAAATAAGTCAGATAAGGTATAACAAAATGCAGAAAAAAGGGAAGATGGTGACTAGAATAAGAGTGGGGAGCCAGTGTGAGTTAGGCAGGGTGTTCTGAGGGTAGGGAGGTGAATGCTAAGGATATCTTGCTCCATCTCTACTTATAGGGAAAGAGATAGAGGAGTCAACAGTAGCACACAAATGCCTGGGCTCCTGTATCTACCTGAGTGCATCTGTTATGAACATTTGCATTAGTGATTGTACTGATGATTCGGTGATTCTTGGACTTCAGCATGCATTAGAATCACCTGGAGGGCTCCCAGCCCCACCTCTGGAGTTTCTTGTGTCTAGAATGGGTCAATATTTGCATTTCTAACAAGTAACAGGTGATGTTGATACTGCTAGTCTAGGGATCATACTTGGCTTTTTGTTTTTTGGTTTTTCGTTTGTTTGTTTGTATTTTAAGACAGAGTCTCACTCTGTTACCCAGGCTAGAGTACAGGGATATCATGAAAGCTCACTATGATCTCAAATTCCTGTGCTCAAGTAACACAAGAAACTGGGGGCTACAGGCATGTACCACTACCCCCAGCTAATGTTTTTATAGAGACAAGGTCTCACTCTCATTCAGACTGGTCTTGAGCTCCTGGTCTCCAACCATCCTCCCACCTTGGCCCGCCAAAGTGCTAGACATCACACATTGAGACCCACCACCTAGAAAAATCTCACTGTTCATCTTTTATTTTCTGTTCCATACAGAGAGCACAAGAAGATGAATTGGTTAAAATCAGAAAGTATTACGAGACCTCTGAGGAAGAAGAATTGAAGCTGCTGGATAAACCTGAGCAGTAAGGACACTCCACCACTTTTCTCTTAGGCCACAAGGAGAGCAACAGTTTCTAGCTTCTTGTCTCCCAGCTTTGAATAGCCAAATCTAAACTGTATGGTGAGCTCATTCACATCACCGTCATCCCTGTGACCTGTTGCATGCAGCAGAGTGACCCTGCTGCTGGGAAAAGCAGCCCTGAGATTTGTGCTGCTTGACACAGTGTGTCTCCCTCCCCCTGCCCCACCCGACGCTCTCTTCTTGTTCTCACAACTTGTTAATTCCTCCTAGACAAAACATTTTGGCCAGAGGGGACTGAGGAAGGAAGAAGGCATTGCTCTGTTTAAGGTTCTGCTGATGTAGCTAAAAAGATGACATCAGAGTCACAGAATTCAAATTTATTTTTCTAAATGTTCTATCTAGTAACTGCAGCCTGGCCATGTCAGTGTTCCCCAGGTCTCCCCACCTGTTCTGCCGTGTGCAGTATGACATTCTCTCCTTCAGTCTGCATGTGCTTGTTCTTCTCTCCACTCACTGTCAAGAACTGCCTGCTCTATAGTTGGGGATTTCATTCCATACACTTCAAAAACCTAGAACACCAGTGTATAACAGTGACTCATCCTAGGCTGGGCTTTTGGGGTCTCCCAGTCACAGAGAAGGTTCCAGGCCTCTGTAGCTCCATACCTTCCCCCCACCAATGTTTCAGGCTCAGGACTCTGTGAAAATGTAGAACAAGTTCAGAGTGGGTAGGGGCTCTTTGGGCTGTTTCTGCCTTGAATGCTTCTTGTCTAATTCAGGCCATTGCTATCAACCTAGAGATGAGGGAAGCACAGAAAACCAGGTGAACACAGAGTGATCGGGTTCAGGTTCAGGGTGCCAACTCAGCTCCACAGGCATCTGTGGCTGGCACTGAAGCCTCTATGCCTTGTCCTTGGGTCCTCTGGAATGGCCTCATCACCTTGGATGCCTATATATTTAGACCTGAAAAACAATTGTAGATCTGGGGAAGGGGGAGAGATTTCTAGGTTTATTCAGCTACTGACAAACCCTCGTGATAGTTTTGGATACCTTCAGTGAGTTGCCATCACATGGAGTGTGACCCAAGATCCTTCTGCTCCTAAAGTTAGTAGATAAAGCCTAGAAATATTGTGAATCCATTCATATGGGCTTCCACTGCCTCTCTGCTCCACACATCTCAGCCCCCTGCCTACCAGCTCCCACCCCCAACCAACCCTATGGTTTATTCCTAAGTCATATTTCCTAATATAATTAACTACAGCTAAGGTTCTAATGGCTGAAAGTAAGGTGACAAATAATGACACTTAGACATTGACAAGCGCATTGGGGATGTATCTGGGGACATTCATGTACATCTAACATTTGCATAGGGCCAGTTATTTCAAGCTGTGCAATTCCTCTAAGCCTGGAGTTGGCAGACTTCTGTGAAGGCTCTGATATGATAATATTGTAGGTTTTATGGGTCATAGAATCTGTCACAACTATTCAAGTCAGCCATTGTGACGCAGTAGCAACCACAATCAAGAGATAAACAAATGGGCATGGCTATGCCCCCTTGAATTTTATTTATCAACAGTTAAATTTGAATTTCTTATTCCTACATGTCACAGAATGTCATCTGTCTATTGATTGTATTTTCAACCATTATAGAATGTAAAAACCATTTTTAGTTCATGACCTATAAAAAAGTAAGTTGTGAGCTGGAGTAGGCCTGCCCATGGGCTGTAACTTGCCAACCCTTTGCCCATTCAGCAGCCCCTGCTCTAAGCTATGAGGATGGCTGACCCAGGGAAATGAGCAACTGGGGAGATGTGTTTCTGCTACCTGAAGTGTTACCCTTTTCTTTTTGTGTGATTGCCTTTCCAGTATTATTTTTCAACACAAATTGCTAGGATTTGGAACAATGGTGGCAGGTAACTAACAGCTAACTTACTATTCCTGTTTCCTCTAATGATGATCTAGATAGAAAAATATTTTTAACATTTGTAAATGGTCATTATAATGGCTTCCTGAACATCCAAAGATATCAGTGACAGCAGAAAGGACTGTCGTGTTGTGCTGGGGAGGGGACGTGCTTGGGTGGGAGGTTGAGGCACACAGAGGTAGGGCCTTTCAGATCTGGATGAATCTCACCTTTGATCCCATCCTCCTGCACAAGCCAGCATTTGTTTGATTTATGCCAGAGTCTGATTCTTTGGCAACTTATTTGCCATTAACTCCAAGTGAGTCGACTATAAGCATGTTTTACATACTGGAAAATATGAATCGTTTATAGTTTTAGCACTGCACTTTCCTAAGAGCTCTGTGTTGCCCAGTCTTATAAATCACACCATGGAGAGGCTGGCTTCATCACGCACCTCATCAGCTCCTTACACCCAGTGCCAGATTTAGAAAGCCATTTCCCACAGAGGTGTCGTCTGCTTGAAACCAGGCTGTCTGAGAGCCACTCCCACTGCGAATAGCCCTTGACTCTGTGTGCCCAGCCTGGTACTGGTGGTGATGGGAGGCAGGGCTCTACTGGGTTTAACTGGGCCTGATGTGCATGCACCATGGCCTGGGGTAAGCTCTCCACCAGAGTCCACAGCTGTCTTGGGACCCTCTCTAAACCCTGTGAGGGTATTCCTCCGTGGAAGAACACAGGTTACAACATAAAATTATGCTGTGTGGATAACCCAGGTGGACACACACTGTTCAGAGATTAGGGGATAATAAACCAAATGCTCATCCCTTAAAAGCAGAAGGTCAGTGTGCATCACGGTCCTGTCAGCTGGGTGGCTGCTGTGGACATGTGACCCAAACAGTGTAAACCACAGAACTTCTCTCATATAGACAGCTGACGTTGCAGTCCTTGGGAAAATTAACCTGCACTGGAGGAAAAAGGGAAAGATCTCTCATTTGTGGTTTCTAAGGGTGAGGGAGTCAGTATTTAATTCCCTTTGTTATTGAACCTAGACTATAAAGTTAGACTAGCCTAAAAGGAAATCAATCTGTAAATATTTGTGAGTACCAAGGCCCAGTGTCTAAGGTGCTATGCTTAGGGGTATGTAAAGGAGCGTTATCCAAACTGTGGTGGGTAGAGGGTAATACACAGTTTAGGGGAGAAGATACTCATCAGACACTTGCTTCCCAGCCTCCAAGGTAACCCATACTTCAGTACTTTACCAGATAAGGAGTTCTGGTGCTCTTTGCTTAAGTGTTTGTGGACAGCAATCATGTAAAATCGTATTCCAGTATTCCGTAGCTTGATATTCTGCCCATTGTCCAAGACAAACTCCCCAAGTAATCCTGGACTCTTCTGAGCGTGCCTTGGGATTAGGCCATTACTCTGGGTCTGGGTCTTGCTATGATAGCAGCCTTCTCCTCCATTCATGCTGCAGGCCCTCTCCCTCTTCTTTCTTGGAAGATTGAAGAAGAGGTCTAACTGGTCTCCCAGCATTAATATCTTGTCACCTCCAATGAGCCAAACCACTGCCATAGGAATTTTCTAAAACAAAAACTGAAAGTATCACTTCTCCATTTAAAACTCTTTATACTTTCAGAAGTTTAAATTCCTTATTTTCGAACAGTGGCTCTCAACCTTCCTAATGCCGTGACCCTTAAATACAGTTCCTCGTGTTGTGGCGACCCCTAACCATAAAGTTATTTTTGTTGCTACTTCATAACTATAATTGTGCTACCCTTATGAATCATAATGAAATATCTGATATGCAGGATGTATTTAGGCACCCCCCGTGAAAGGGTCATTTGACCCCCAAAGGGGTCGCGACCCACAGGTTGAGAACTGCTGTTTTAGAACATAAAATCTGATTTAGCATCTGGGTTCTGCTTACTTCCTCCACAGATACCATTCATACTGTCTTGTAGCTCTCTGGTAGTCCCTCCAGGGCTCTGGGAACTCTAGCTGATGTCCCCTCCCTCCCTCCGTAGTTCCCCTTAGAGACCCCATCTCTGATAGCATCACCCTCCACAGTAGCCATCGATTTATTTTTCAGATTATTGAGAAGGAGTTGTAAGTTAAATTCTGTTCCCTGGTCTTAGTGTGGTACCTGATACACTGTAAATACTTCATACATGCTTAAAGGACTGGCTGACAGTGTTGGTGACTGATGCTGTAATATTGCTTTTTAGTGACACAGTTCTAACCAAAAGGAACATAAAATTCCTGAACTTATACTCTCCACCTCCAACTCTGTATATGTGTTCCAGACCCTCTCCGTCCAGAGGGCATTAGAACTCTAAGATTCTCTAAGGCTGTGGTCCCTAACCCCTAGTCGTGGCCTGTTAGGAACCAGGTGCACAGCAGGAGGCGAGCAGTGGGTGAGTGAGTGAAGCATCATCTGCATTCACAGCCACTCCCCACCACTCACATTGCCCACTGAGCTCTGCCTCCTGTCAGATCAATGGCAGCATTAGATTATAGGAGCGCAATCCCATCTATAAAATGAGAATGCGAGGGATCTGGGTTACATGTTGCTTATGAAGATGTAATGCCTGATGATTTGAGGTGGAGATGTAATGTACTTGAATCATTCAGAAACCATCCCCCTCCACACTCCCCAGTCTGTGGAAAACATTGTCTTCCATGAAATCAGTCCCTGGTACCAAAAATGTTAGGGACCTGTGCTCTAAAAGCTTTCCCAGTAAAAGCCCAACCCCTGCCCCCAAGGCTTTAATCATCGAGGGCCTTGGAATTCCATCTTGCCCTTTCTTGGATCATACCAGTTAATGAGATTATGGTCTTATCTCCTTATATTGGTCATACACCTCCTCTTTTGAGTCTGGTTATAAGTTATTATTCACCAGCATTTCTACTGTTCCTGGTACCCTTATTGGTGAGCTGAGGTTGAGACATGGATATTCTCTTATGGTCTCTGAACTGCTTTACTCTGTTCTCCTCATTTTGAGTAAGGAGGAGACATACTCAGGATCTAGGTCCTACTTAGGGAATATTGTCTCATGGTCATATGTGGAAGGGGAAAAATACAGGGTATTTCCTTATAGATAGCTCAGCATCTGAGTAAATAAATCTCCTCAACATTAACCACAGGACCAAATGCTGCCAGACCTGTGTGGGTCTAATTGCTCACGTGTTTGTAAAAACTGGTGACACTTCGGATTTTAGTCATGATAAATGAATCAGGTGTTTCGTACTGTATTTATGAAGAAATAATTTACATAGAATTTAATTTTTTCATCACCACCTCATCCAGAATTCCGATGGCTTTCTACTTTTATATCCCATCATATGATGCTTCATAATAGAGTTATAGAACAAAGACCTATTGTTTTCTATAGGTAGTCCTTGATTCACTTCAACATCATTTTGAGAAAAGATTATAATCTTCCTGCAGGATAAGTAAGAAAAACAGCTGATAATTAGAAATTTATTAAAACCTAAATCTCCCCAACTGTATAAACCAATAAAACTTGGATACAGAAAGAAATAGGCTTCAACTTTGGTCCTACGTAAAAACTTTCTTGGTGGGAAATTGCAAAATTCCAAAGTAATGATGTTGTGAGTTGACCACGACTTTCAGAAATATCAGTCAAGCATCATTTCAGCTCCAGAATGAAATAAATGTCTATTAGTGGATTCTCTTCTTTTCTGCATCATACCCAACTGTTTCTACCTGTTTTAGCTTACACCCCCTTTCCCTAGTGCTTGGCCTGAGGTGTATGTAACTCTTCCAACTTAATTTTGCAAAGGGCACCAGTGCCCAGCTCCTCAGACAGTGAGCTACTGTGTATAGGTCAGTTCTCACCTTTAGCTTTTAAGATCTTCCTGGCTGTTTTTTTAAAAGACACTTTAGATGGTCTATTTAATGAGTAGCTGCTTGAAGTATTGGGCTATGAGCTATGTCTATATGGGTCAGTTGATGTGAAGAAGTAAACAAATACCTGGGGAATGTGGTCATTATCGACCATTATGTAATTCATTGAGCAAAAATAGTAGCAATATCATTTCAATAAGAAACATTTTTTAAATAGTCATCTGTAGTTATTTGCCTCAAGTCTCTAATTTCCTCAGTCTATGTAAATATACCTTTAGAGAATGTTGCATTGCAAGGGAGCTCATTGTGTAATTTGTTTCATATGCTAAAGACTAGGGCTTTCCATTTGGGCTGAATCTAGTTTGGGTGGCAGGAGATAGATAACATGTTGATCATTCATTGAGTAGACCTGCATTAACATTCTGTTTGTAAAGAATTTCTATATCATACATTTATGGAGCATCGCAGAAACCCACCAAAAAGTGGCCTTGTTGTTACCAGTAGAACAAATACCCTTGGAGTTCCTTGACTTTCTGCCTATCTTGAAATTGTCAGATAAGAAATGTTCTCGTGGCAGATCTTTTCCACCTGCCTTGTTATTTTCCTTCAAGTTGCACACGATTTTAAATGGCATGTGAACTTTATGGCCACCTTGTATGTTGCTAAGTGATTCCTTTTTATTTTTACAGATTTTTGCATGAGTTAGCCCAGATTCCTAATTTTGCTGAACGTGCCCAGTGCATAATCTTCAGATCTGTCTTTTCTGAGGGTATCACCTCCTTGCACCAGAAGGTCGAAATCATCACACGAGCTTCTAAGGTAGGTTTGCTGTCTAATTTTTTTTTCTTTTCCTTTCCTTTTTTTTTTATTAAATGATAGCTGTGTACATTCATGCAGTCATGGGGTACAGTGTGGTGTTTTCATATACAATTTGAAATATTTTTATCAAACTGGTTACCATAACCTTTGTGTCATTTTCTTAGTTATTGTGTTAAGACATTTATATTCTACTCTTAGAAAGATTCACTTGTACCTTTATAAGATAAACCATAGAAGTGATCCGTCCAATCACCCTCCCTCCACCTTGCTGTCTAATTTTAAAGGCTGCCTTGCTCTTGTTGGGGGGGTAAAGGAGGAAGTGGGGAGTAAAAGAGATTCACTATAGTGCCATTATAGAAGCCCTTTGAGATGTTTAGATGTCAGCTAGTATCTTTTTCTAAGTGTAAATGTGATTATCCTGCCCCGGTGTGCAGATGAACGTGTGTGTGAGTGGCAAAGAGAGAGAAAAGGAGATGCAAACTGAAGAAGAGGAGGAGGAGAAATGACATTTCTATCTATGGATTTCTTCCCAGAAATTTCAAACATATTCCAAAGTACATACCGACTACTAAAAACCAATCTAAACATAATAGCACAGTTTGTTTCCCCTTCCACAATCTGGATTGCAAAAGATACTTTGCTTTGGATCTGTGCCTTTGATCACCTGAAGTGTGTCTACACAATGAAATAAAAGAATTCTATAGATTGACTATGTGAAATAAGTGACTGACAACAAGTGGTTGGGAGATGAATTTTTGTTGGCTTTACCACACTAGCGGTCATTAGATGGTTAAAGCCTAGCACTTGGCTTTTTCCCACAGTTAGCCTATACTCTTAACATGATATTTTCTCCACAAAGTCTGCAATACTTAGTTGCTTATTGTGGGAGACATGATTTTTTTGCTAAGACATTAGAGATTTCAATAAAGAAAGCATAATAAAGCCTTACCGTTAATAATATCTGAAAGGGCAGGAGCAGGAGTCTGATAGGAGCTGAATTTTGTTTGCTTTCTTTACCCTAAAGTAAAGGAAAATAAAGTCCAGTAAGACTATAGACAAAGAAAAAAAGTTCTAGTTTGAAAATTTGACTTGAAATTAAAAATAAATACATAATAGAAAAAATAGGTGAGATAGAACCAAAGAAAATCCTAAACAGGTTGAAATTATAAAAATTAATAGACAGCAAATAGTAAACTTAAGTTTAATAAATTTAATAAACACATGGCCTATGGCCTTAAAGTGTATTATTATAATTCACTCCTGAGGATTAAGGCCAAGGATATGTCTACTCCAAATTTAATTTGATTGTTCATATAGATACATATTCCCAAAACACATCCGAAAAAGAAAATCTTTCTAGTTAGGAGTCATCAGAGGTTAAGCCTAACTATACCAACTGTCTTCTTACAACTTATACTTTAAAATAAGT